CACACATCAGTGAAATTTTCTTAGGGAAAAACAACCTAATTTCAATTTCAATTTGAATGCATACATTTTGATCTAAAGGGAACATATTTAAAGCAGTGTTTGAAACTAGATGAACATACTGTACTAGCTGTTTAATGAAATATCAGTTCCTTTAAGAAAGGTCACCCCCCCAAGGACTTCACTAATATCTTCCTCAAGAATAACGAGTGGTTTGATAGCTTTCTCCAAGCTGATGCTTTCCAACCTGTTGCCCTAGACATATGCTTGATGGCAACACACATATTTGTGTATCTTCTGAGTTTTGCTGGTCCCTTCCCTCAGCTTCTGTATGCATCACTAGTATAAAAAGGACAGCACAATACATGAGTAGATGCTTCTTTTCAACCAGAAATCACAGATGTGCATGAATGAGCAAGTTTGTCTTGCTGCTAAACATACCTGAGATAGCTTAGTATCACTGCTAGGCAACTGGAGGTTCATGCTGAACACACATTTTCTCCCTGCTTTTGAGTTAATGAGCCTTAGGATGTGATGCTAAGGTAGAAATAGTAGGATTTTCCAATGCATTTTAGAGCAATGGGTAACATGCTGGTTGACTCCCAGGTTGGTATCTCCTTGCCCACTACATCCAGACTAAGTTCTAAATAAATGTCAACTTTTATCAGAGATAAGTGAGCTTTTTAGGAGTTTCCTAGGTATAAAGTGCTTAGAAGTGGTTTATGATTCCCTTCTTCTCAATGTGCTCTGGGACTGTGGAGCTTATTCAAGGCTTCCCATAGCCTGCTACCTTTGTCAGTGTCCCTATAAATCGGATTAAACTTGACTGGGAGAACCTAATCCACCTATTATGTTGATCTGCCTTTTGTCCTCCGATCTCAAGAGCCTGCGCAGGGCAGCCTACAGAATTTTCAGCATGCTTTGAGAATCGGTGCCATCATTTAGGCAGCAGCTCTATGCGTTGCTTCCGACGGATTTTTGGTTTCACCTGGCAGGACAAAGTTCCAAATAGAGTAGTCCTATAATGAGCTGGAATTTTCAGCATGCTTTGAGAATCGGTGCCATCCCATCATTTAGGCAGCAGCTCTATGTGTTGCCTCCGACGGATTTTTGGTTTCACCTGGCAGGACAAAGTTCCAAATAGAGTAGTCCTAGAATGAGCTGGAATTTTCAGCATGCATACACTACTGAAACAACGACGTCTATGTTGGCTTGGGCACGTCGTGATAATGGTTGGATTCCAAAGGATCTCCTAATTAGTGCAGGGAAATCGCCCCAGAGGGAGACCACAGCTGCAATACAAGGACATCTGCAAGCGGGATCTGAAGGCCTTAGGAATGGACCTCAACAGATGGGAAACTCTGACATCTGAGCGTTCAGCCTGGAGGCAGGCCTTGCATCACAGCCTCTCCCAATTTGAAGAGACCCTTGCCCAGCAGGCCGAGGCAAAGAGGAAGTCACAAAAGCAGCAAAACAAGGGAGCTGGACAGGGGACAGATTGGATTTGTCTTCAGTGTGGAAGAGATTGTCGCTCTCGAATTGGCCTCTTCAGCCACACTAGACGCTGTTCCAAGGCCTCCATACAGGGCACAATATCATAGTCTCTCGAGATTGAAGGATGCCTACTAGTTCAATCTTTCGAGACTGAAGGATGCCTACTGGTTCAGTCCATCTGGAAGGCCATCAACTTTCTCAACGCTAAAACAGGACGGCAGGTGTCATCTCCGACTGGAGCACCAAGCACATCAAGCTCAACTTTACCGGCACACACCCCTACACCCCTGCTTGGCACAACCTGAACCAGGTACGGGCCCGCTCCTCGCCCCCCGCCCCCAAGAGTTCGGGATATTTCGTAGCCAGAAAGTCAAGAGGTGTAGCTTTCCTGATAGGGAGACTCGGGCAGAGGGATAGGGCTTCAGCTTTCCCTGGTGCATGCCTGCCTGCCTGTTTTGCATCTATTCAGAACCGATCGCAACCTTGCCGGAAAGAACCAAGCTTTCGGTGAAACCCGGGAGGGCTTCGGAGCGCTTGTGAGGCTGCTTTTGCACAGAAGGAGATCTCCGTGGCTCGCCGGCAGCCCCAAGAGAGAGAGAGAGCGCGAGAGAGCGAGAGCGAAGGAAGAAGCGCGACAGGGCCAGCATCCCCTCTTCCTTCTCCTCCCCTGAGCCCCCCCCGGCCACGTCGAGGGGGCGTTAGGACCCCGCCGCCGCCGCCGCCGCCGCTACTGCCGTCGCGTAGAAGTGCCGGCGCGCTGCCCGCCCGCGGAGACGGACCCGCCAGACTGCGGCAACTCCGGGTCCCTGTGAATAAATAGTACCTCGGGGACAACGGGGACGAGAAGGGGAGCCGAGCCGACGGGGAGATCGGCGACTAGAAGGAACTGGGCCCGCGCCGGCTTCGGACTCTTCCCGGCGGAGCTGCGCTGCCCAGCTTGCTCTGCTTGGCAGCTGCTTTCCTTGGCAATGGTAAAGTTCCTTTTCTCTTTTCCCCTTCCTCTAACCGCGCCTTGCCTCGTGCGGTCCTTTTCCTTACTTTCTTCTTCCCGGCTTCCTCCTCGCGATTTTGCCTTTCCTTCTGGTTTTTTGTTTTTTTTCAGTTTCTCTTTCTTCTTGTCTTCCCCTTTCTTTTTCTCCCCTCCGCCCTGCCCGCCTTTCCTTTCGCCCATGCCTCTTATTTTTTTTTTCCCCTTTTCTTTCTTTCTTGGGGTCAACCTGCAAGATTCAGGGCGATGGATCGCCCGGAAAGATTTCAAGAGCGACGGAGGAGAAGCCAAGCGGGGCGCGGGGTTTCTGTCCCTCTCTCTTTCTCGCTCCGGTGCGGAACTCAAGTGTCTTCCAGGCTGCAGAGCTGCGTGCGGGGCGATGGGGAGAGACCCCGGCGTGGGCATGCTGGAGTTTTAAGCCTATCCAAACGCTCCGGCTTAAAACTCCAGAAGTCAGGGATGGCAATCTCCAGCCGCGGAATTCCCACGGTCTGTCCTTCAGGTCTGGCACAAGACCGGGGAAGGTGCGGCGCATCAGGTCCACAGTGCCTACGATGGCTGCCGGAGGCTGCCCAGGTTCCTTACTTCTGCATGCTAAGCCACAGGTCTTGCGGATTTTCCTGAAGTTTTGCACACCGGAGAGGCTCTTGCTTGCAAACGCCAGCACTTGAGGCAAAGAATAGGTGGGTCCTCGTTTCCCCAAAGGGACGTCACCAGAAATACATCGGTGAGTGCTCGGGTCCTCCAAGCACACCCCTTGGGGAAGAAAAAAAGGACCAGAAGACTCCCGTTGTCTTCAGCAGAGCCCAGCAAAATCTCCCAAAGTGGCAAAGGAGTTAAGCACTGGCTCAGAAAGGACACCTGCTGGTCTGGAAGGGGCCACGGGATTCTTTTGCTGGTTTTGCTACAGCAGGTAAACAGGGCTTCCTCCCTTCGTTCCACCCCCCACCCACCATCACCTGCCCGAAAGATAATGTCCCTTAGATTAGGTCAAAGGAGAGATTTTGTAACAGAGTGGTGCTGCTGACAGCAATAGCGTCCCCCCACCCACCCCCAAGACAGCAAAATGAACCAGGTTGCAAGAGAAGCCATCCTGGTCTTCTCTTCATACATCCCCATAGGTGTATGGCAGTGGTCTGGGAACAGGGGTAAATTAAATGGGGTAATCCACGTACTGCTGAAGCCTACCTTGCAGGATTTTGAGCATAACCTTGCTAGCATGTAAAATGAGTGCAATTGTATGGTAGTTGGAGCATTCTTTGGCACTTCCCTTCTTTGGGACTGGTATGTAGACTGATCTTTTCCAATCCTCTGGCCACTGCTGAGTTTTCTATTGATGATGATAAAAAAGCACACTGGTCCTTTGATATTGGGCTGTGGCACCAGGGTGGGTGACATGACCTTTAGCCTGGTTTGTTCCTTTGTGCACACAACACATAGACTGATTAAAGTGGTAGGGAACACACAAACACACTCCCCAATTCTGCGTTGCCTGTCTCTAACAAGCATGTCATTGCTAGAACCACTCTGGCAGCCACCTCCGCGAGCTAGCAAAAATTTAATGCAACTTGCTAGGCATGTTGGACCCCTCACTCCTCCCTATGCCACCCCATGGCTGGAGTGCAATGTGTTCCAGCAAAAACAGCACACAACTTTATTAAATTTGGTGCATCTTGCTAGTTTGGTACATAGCCTGGCAGCCATAGATACTTATGATATATCCTGCTAGTTCAGTACACAGCCTTTGTAGATTCAATAATATTTTGAATTCAAATAATGTATGATTTCCTTACTTTCAAATCAAGGGGGTAATGTCGGCGTATAATTTTTTTTTTTTTTGGGGGGGGGAAAAGATAAAAAAGTTCCCTGACCCCTGGTGTATGGGGTAAGTGGTGACTAGAAAGAAAGCCATAGTGGGACTCTGTTTGTTGACCTCACACACAGACCTGGAGGCCCTTCACTCTTGTCCAAGATGTGAATGTCATATTTACTTTGTGATGAGGTCAACATTGCACTCTTCCTATGCCAAGGTGCATTCTTCCAGGGGCAGAGTAAGCCCTCACTGTGCTAGCTTTAGCTTTGCTGGGCTGTGCAGTTTTCAGATATAGGGGAAACATCAATACTAATATAATATTTTAAAAATTAACAACTCGGTGCCACCTTTCCAAGCCCTAAGGTGATGCATAAGAAATAACAATTGAGAGAAATTCACATAAATCATTCCAGGAATCATGTACAGAAACTTAGAGTTATTATTCCAGTGCACAGGTAGGTACGTAATTGAGAGAAGATGAGAAGCATATTTTGCCAATAAGTTCCTAATTGAGCTGTGCTTTGAAACCAAACTCCAAACTTCATCCAGCATGCTCTTGAATGTTCACTACAGCACTCTTAACTTCTCTTTTCCCCCCTCTCCTCCTGCTGACACAGGATATCTGTTGAAGTTCTTCTCAGCTTTGGAACCCCGGCCAGATTCAGTCAAAATCTCTGTCAAGGAAAACTACCCATCTGGAATCCAGCAATGGAGAATCAGTCTTGGGATTTCTTTGGGGCACCAATGGGCAATGTCAGCGCAAACCAGACTCATATGGACAAGATGCCTCAGTTACCCCTGGAGGTGCAGGCAGTAACCATCTTGCTGGTACTGCTCATCTGTGGGGTAGGCATTGCAGGAAACATTATGGTAGTGCTGGTGGTCCTTCGCACCAAGCACATGGTGACCCCTACCAACTGCTACCTGGTGAGCCTGGCTGTAGCTGACCTAATTGTACTGCTGGCAGCGGGGTTACCTAACATCTCTGAGGTGGTGGCCTCCTGGGTGTATGGCTATGCCGGCTGCCTGTGCATTACCTACCTGCAGTACCTGGGCATCAACATCTCAGCATGTTCTATTACTGCCTTCACAGTGGAGCGCTATATCGCCATCTGCCACTCCATCAAGGCACAGCTGCTGTGTACTGTGGCCCGAGCCAAGCGCATCATCGCCTGTGTGTGGTTCTTCACTTCTCTATACTGTCTCATGTGGTTCTTCCTCGTGGACATCTCCCAGGCCACGTTTGCTGATGGCATACAAGTCACTTGTGGCTACCGTGTCTCCAGGAATCTCTACATGCCCGTCTATTTCCTGGATTTCACCATCTTCTACGTCATCCCTCTGGGCTTGGCCACTGTTCTGTATGGCCTCATAGCACGCATCCTCTTCATGAACCCATTGCCTGCTACTCCACAGCATGCGAGCCAACTGAGCAAACACAACAGCTCCATCAGCACCTCCAGCTCCATGAAGCTCTCCTGCAGGGGAAACAAGAGTGCCCTGACCTCCAGAAAACAGGTTCTTTTTGCTTCTTCTGAAGGGGTGGCTGCATAGAGAAGGTGGATTGAAAAAGATGTGGGTTGGATGCTGTGGCATTCCATGGCCTTCAACATGACTTCTACTGTATATGTGTGTAAAATTAGTCATGAGCCTTATACTAAGTCTTGTCCATTTAGCTTATGTCTACTCTTACGGCCATCAGCTTTCTAGGATTTCAGACAGCTTTTGCATCACCCTTACCTGGTCTTTAACAAGATATGACTGAGACTGATTGTGAGATTTCTGCTTACAAAGACCATTCAACTATGGTGTTCTCCAGTTATTCCAGAGCAGTATTTCTCAGTATTTGGTCCTCTAGATCTCCTGCCCCCCAAACGTACAACCCCCTGCACGCATGCATGCACTGGCCCACATGCATCTACTGATGCCCGGCCCACCCCTGCATGCATGCATGAATACCCCCCATGCAAAGATCCTGCCCCTCCCTAACTGGTCCAAGGTTTGGAAAAGGTTGGGGACCACTGCTATAGATGCTTTCAACCAACAACTAAAATCTCTGACAATTGGCCACGCAAGCATGGCTTCTGGGAGTTCAAATTCAAAACAGCTAAAATGATCAAAGATGGAGAACCATTGACTCACCAAGGGGTTGTCCAAGGCATTTTAGACAGAAAATCTAAATTAGGAGTAAGGAAACTTTGGCCATTTCCGTATTTTAGCCCAACATGGCCAATGCTAAGTGATGATGGAAGGTTTAATCCAAGATATCTGGAGGAGACCTCTCTATTTCTGATAAAAATTGATCTCCCTATCCTATCCTATCCTATCCTATCCTATCCTATCCTATCCTATCCTATCCTATCCTATCCTATCCTATCCTATCCTATCCTATCCTATCCTAAACAAATACTAATAGCATCCAGCTAGCAGGGCTATATTTTCCACTAGCAAGGAGAAGTGATCTACTCCAGGAAGAAAACAATTTATTCTCTGCTGCTCTTAAAGCTTTAGGATTTGCATCCTTAGGCAAACTTTCTTAGTTTGTCAAATGGTAGCGCTGAATAGTTCTTGGAGGTGGAGAGGAGATAGAAGTCACTTAAGGACACAGTTTTGAAGAGGGGCATAAGAAGGCATTGACCAAGGAACAAGTATAGAGGAGAGTTTAGTTAGTTTGTTGTATATGTGCCTTTCTTCATATGGGTTTAGCAACAGGTGGCCTATGGTTGAAATGGGAAGGCTCACTTGGGCGGTGAACTGCTCTTGGATATATTTTATTTCATTTCATTTATAAACTGCCTTTCCAAAAGGACAAAAGGAGGTGTACAACAACTAAAGAAATACCTCTACAGTATTTAAAGTCACAATAAATTAAGACTTGAAAGTTAATATGAGTAAATCAAAAGAGTATTGAAACCCAATTGGTTAAAACATGTTTAAATGCCTAATTAAAATATGCTGCATCCCCCAATGAAAATGAACAAAAATACAATCTTAAAGGGCATTAGAGGTTAAAAGGAATGTTTTTACCTGCTATTAGAAGGGCTATAAGGAAGGAGCCAACTTCATGCAGCAAGAAATTCCATTGGCTTGGAGTAGTTGTCAAATATGCCCTTTCATTGGTCCTCAACAAGTAAGTGTATGCCTGAGATAGTGGTAGGACTGAGAAGCAGACCGTCTTGTCTTCTGTAGGAGAAATGCTTCTTTCATCTTTCAATCAGAATTTCAGCACAAACAAGGTCTTGGAGTGCACAGTTATATACCCAGCTCCTTTGTTCATCTTTCAATCAGAATTTCAGCACAAATGAGGTCTTGGAATGCACAGTTATATACCCAGCTACTTTGATTGTTGTTAAGTTGTGTCCGACTCTTTGTGACCCCATGGACCAGAGCCCTCCTGTCTTCCACTGCCTCCCGGAGTTGGGTCAAATCCATGTTTGTAGCTTCAATGACACTGTTCAACCATCTCGTCCTCTGTCATCCCCATCTCCTCTTGCCTTCACACTTTCCCAACATCAGGGTCTTTTCCAGGAAGTCTACTTTTCTCATGAGATGGCCAAAGTATCGGAGCCTCAGCTTCAGGATCCGTCCTTCCAGTGAGCACTCAGGGTTGATTTCCTTCAGAACGGATAGGTTTGTTCTCCTTGCCGTCCAGGGGACTCTCAAGAGTCTCCTCCAGCACCACAATTCAAAAGCATCAATTATTTGGTGGTCAGTCTTCTTTATGGTCCAGCTCTCACTTTCATATAGAGCTACTGGAAAAACCATAGCTTTGACTATGCGGACTTTTGTTGGCAAGGTGATGTCTCTGCTTTCTAAGATGCTCTCTAGGTTTGTCACCGCTTTCCTCCCAAGAAGCAGGCGTCTTTTAATTTCGTGGCTGCTGTCACCATCTGCAGTGATTACTGAGCCCAGGAAAGTAAATTCTGTCACTGCCTCCATCTCATCCCCTTCTATTTTCCAGTAGGTGATAGGCCCAGTGGCCATGATCTTAGTTTTTTTAAAATGTTGACCTTTAGACCATATGATACTAGCCTCAATTCAGGCTATGTGACTATCTATGATCTTAGTTTTTTTTAATGTTGACCTTAGACAATATGATACTAGCCTCAATTCAGGCTATATAACTATCTAGATCAGTATTGTCTGCTCTAACTGGCACTGCTCTAACTGGCAAGGGGCTCTCCACCTATCTCCGCCTATCACCTGTTTACCCATCATTTTCACTTGGGGGTGCCAGTGACCCTGTGACCTTCTGTGTGAACAGCACATGCTCTAACACCAAGCTTTGGTCCCTCCAGACAGAAGGCACAAAAATGATAGCTTCAGCCATAGGATAATTCACAAGTTGAAAGAAGAAAGAAAATATAGCATTGATTGGAGGGGATTATCTACATATTTATTTAATCAAAGCTGGAGTGTTAAATGTATGTGTCTTCAGATGCTGCTGGAGTACATCAGTCCTACCCAGCACAGCACAGTTATAAATGGAGAGTCGTGGCTTTTCCCCACTCCTGAATTATACCCTGTCTTTCAGTTCTACAACATATTTATCTCTATAAACAACAAATAGTTTGTTTTATTGTATTGTATTGTCATGCCACCTCCAACTCAGGATGACCCTATGAATGAGTGATCTCCAAAGGTGCTGTCTTCAACTGCCCTGTTCAGCTCTTGTGATCTCAGTCTTGTGATTTCCTTTAGGGAGTCACTACATCTAGTATTTGGTCTTCCTTTTCTCCTGCAGCCTTTCCCCTTTCCCAGAATTATTGTTTTTTTCTGGAGAATCCTACCTTCTCATGATGTGCCCAGTGTACTTAGACAACCTCATTTTCAGAATTTCTACCTCCAGAGATGGTTCAGGTTTGATACAACCCACTTGTTCATATTTCTGACAGTCCAGGGTATTCACAATGCTCTCCTTCAGCACCATATTTCAAATGAACCCAATTTTATTCTTGTCAACATTCGTTACTGTCCAGCTTTCACGCTCATACAGCGCGATCAGAAAGACAGGAGTGTAGATGATCTTGGCCTTTGTCTCCTGTGAAGCATCCTTACACTCGATGATCTTTTCTAATTTCTTCATTGCTGCCTTTCCTAGTCTCAGTCTTCTTCTGATATCTTGGCTGTACTCTCCATATGGACTGATGATTGACCTGAGGTATACAAAATATCTATTTCAATTTCTTCATTGTCAACACTAAAGCTACATAGTTTTTCTGTAGTCGTGATTTTTGTCATTTTAACATTCAACTACAGTCCTGCTTTGGCACTTTGTTCTTTCACTCCCCCTAAAAATCATTTCAGGTCATTGCTGCTTTCTGCTAGTAAGATGGTGTCATCTGTATATCTTAAATTATTGATGTTTCTTCCACCAATTTTCATTCTGCCTTCATCTGATTCTAGTCTTGCTCTCTTTATGATATGTTATGCATTCAGACAGAACAGATAAGAGGATAAAATAACCTTTGTCCAACACCTTTGCCTATCTGAAACCATTCTGTCTCTCTATATTCTGTCCTAACAGTAGCTTCTTGTCCATGATACAAGTTACTCATCAGGACAATCAAGTTCTGAGGCACATCCACTTATTTCAGAAGAATCCATAGTTTCTTATGATCTACATGGTCAAAGGCTTTACTGTGGTCTATAAAGCTTAGACTGATCTTCTAAGTTTCTCTGGTGTTCTCTAGTAGCCAGCAGATATTTGCAATAGGATCTCAAGTGCCTTTTCCTTTTCAGGATATGGCTTGAGTGTCAGGCATTTCTCTCTCCATATAAAGAGAAAGCCTTTATTGCTTGCATGGGAAATTAAAACAACACTCTTATAGTTACTGGCCTCTTGGTATCTTCTTTCTTGTTACTCATAATGTACAATATATTGAGCTGCGGGGTATTGTTCCCAGTTTGTGGGCCATTATTTTGTTTTCTGTACCTTAGGTATTGGAATGTACAATATATTGAGCTGCGGGGTATTGTTCCCAGTTTGTGGGCCATTATTTTGTTTTCTGTACTTGTTGGTATATTCTTGTTAGGATTTTGACAGATTTGGTCTCTGTGTCTTGAAACAGTTCTATCGGTTTCTCATTTACCTCTGGTGATTTATTTCTTCCTAGTGCTTTCAGAGCAGCTTTCACTTTGCCTTCTAGAATGGCAGGTTCTTTATCACAGGATGCCTCTTTAAAGGAGTCTGTCACTGGTATACTGTTTCCAGCTTCTTTTTATTTTCTCCTGGTCAGATGGTGTGCTTCTTTATTTATCATTCATCATTTCTAATCTAGGCTTGAAGTTCCCTTTGATTTCTTGGATTTTCGGGAAGAGATATCTTGGTTTTTCCCTTTTTGTTGTTCCCCTCTGTTTCTTTGCACTGGTTGTTGTAGTAGTTCTCTTTGTCTCTGCATGACAGTCACTGAAAAACTGCATTCAGGGTTCTGGGCCTACTTCTGTCATCTTTTACTTTTGCTTCTTGTCTGTCTTTGCGGCTTGAAGTTCCCTTTGATTTCTTGGATTTTTCTGGA